AAACGTGCAAGTTCTTTTACACATACATTCATTTCATTTCAAGCAAAGTTCACTAGGTGTGTGAAGAAAAAATATTTTTTATTCGGATATCCCTTTGGAAAAATCAAGTAAAACCATAGACAATAAGCCCTTCATTTATTTGGAACCCGTTTCATAAGTGGAATCAAACCACACACTCTTCATCTCAGTTTTGAGGTACCGGTCCCTCATACCCTGTGCTTATTCGATCTATGTTTTACAAAGACTTTCCAATTTTAAAAACGTGCAAGTGAGGTTAGTACATACTTTCATTCATTTCAAGCAATTTGATTAGGTGTGTGAGAAAATATTTTTCGTTCGGATATCCTTTGAAAAATCAAGTAAAATCATAGACAATAAGCCTTCATTTATTTGGAACCCGTTTCATAAGTGGAATCAAACCACACACTCTTCATCTCATTTTTGGTGTACCGATCCCTCATACCCCGTGCTTATTCGATCTATGTTTTACAAGATTTTCCAACTTTAAAAAAAAAACGTGCAAGTGAAGTTAGTAAATATTGATCTTCATTTCACATATTCAAAGTTAGCTTTCACATAAGCACACATATTTCCACATATTTTCACAAAGGCACATAGTTTAGTCACACAATCACAAAAGCAAGTAATACACATAACGACTCAAGCAAAGAGCATAGATCACATATAGCAAAACAACTCAAAGCATTCGGTTATTTATAATTACTATCTCCAAGTTTTATTAATTAAAGTTCAAGCCCTCTTTCTCAAGAGACTTGAAGTTTTCTTTCAAGTAGCACCAAATTTCCGTTTATTTCATTTTCTTTCCAAAATATTCGAACCATCAACAATTCAATTACACAAACCATTTTTATTAATCTTGTTCTCGATTTTTATCTTCGTATATTATCTTATTACTCATAGATCATAAACCATGGATCGTAAGCTTCCTCGACCCGGAGGGAGTACACTTACAACCACGTAGGTCGATATATATATATACACATAGAAACATATACTTATATATAGCACATATAGATTACAAATATATCATGGATCAAGTACTTTCTTCGACCACGCAGGTTTACGAAAACCATGGGTCGAAGTTTCCTTAAGATCACGCAGGTCTAGTATATATATAGATACATACATACATACATAAAAATTAAATTACAATATTATTCTTAGTTCTTCAAGAGTATTTCAATTAAAGTTTAGATCATTACATGCATGGATGATCTAACAATAAACAATTAAAGTACTTTCGGCCATTAAGAACAAAGAAGGAGAAATAAGAAATAATATTGGTGAAGAATCACTTGTAGCAAGAATATGAAATTCTCACCTTAATCTTCTTAGAAAATTGGAAGGGTGTTCTTTCCTTTTCCTTTGGCCAAGAATTTTACTCTTGAAAGAGAGATTTTGGGGCTTTCCTACACTATAATTTCGAAAATAGGGAGAAGAGGAGAAAGAGAATTTTGATCTTTGATCTCTAGGATGTGTGGAGAATATGAGAAAATTGATGAAGGCTTGGGTTCTATTTATAGAGTTGTGGGAGACTCGCATGCTTAATGATTAAGGAGTGGTCTTTTTGCAATTTAAGCAAACTTGGGGATTATCTAGAGGGACTTCTTTGCAATTTCATTTAACTATCCAAAAAAGAAATTAAAAAAAAGGGAAAATCTTAATACACATGGGTTCACCTAGAGGAGGGTTGTACTCAAGGAAAATTTTGGTCTTGTGTTGTTGTTGGGTGCTAAATAACAACACGCAAGTGCACGTATCGCAAACAAGTAGTAAAGTAGACTCGTGAGAGTCGGATGTCGATCCCACAGGGAATACGCAAATTATTTAATCCTAAGTACCAAATCTTAACAATTACGATTTTTATCCAGCCTACGCAGGGTTGTCAAATTAATTAACTAAATAAATTAAACTAATTAAGAAAGCAATTAAACACGAGAGAATATCAATATAAAACGGATCTAGGATTTTATCTTCCCCCTATGCGATAGTTCTTCACCCAATTAATCTCCTATTATGCAAGTTACGATTTCCGATTATTAACCCAAGACACGAAATTATTCATAACCAGCTGTCGCTGCGCTATAAACCTATTATTCATAAAAGATTCACTATATGTCTATGCAAACCTAGTATAAATAAAGCATTAAATAGCAAGTCTCGTAAACGGCTACCTAAGGTATTATCTGTATGTCTACGATAATACATGCAATCAACACACGCATTCGGTGAAAAACTACTCGAAGGCTCTTCTATCTCTGTTCTAATTATTAAAACGATCTGTCAATCAATTCTAACAATAACAACTAGCAACATAAGTTAGCTACGCTCATGCACTAAATACGATCAAGATAGACGAACTAATCGAAGAATTAAACTTGCATAAAAGTAGAAAAATAGGTTCGAGTTACCACATAGAGTTCCAATAAAATCCTAGAATAAAAACTTAGCTACTCATGTTCGTAACGAAAAACATAATAAAAATACGAAAGTTCATAAAAACTAATAAAAGAGGAAAACTAGGATGAAGAGTCGTCAATTCTTCGTCTTCGTTCTTGAGCTCCTTGATTGCGTGTAGAAAAGATAAAAAACTACAAACTAATAATAAAGATAAAAGGTAAAAGATCCATCTAATTGTGTGCTCTTGGCCTTTAAATAGGGTGCAAAAATATAATAGGGCGGGTTTCCTTGTGTAATTAAAATTCCTTCACTGCGCCTTCACGTCCATCCGGACGGCCGTGCGAGATTATGCTTTAAAATCCGCATGGCCGCGCGGGCTTTATTTCTGCAGGAAATCTGATTTTTTCACTTTTGGCCCACTTTTTCTCTGAATTTGCAGTTTTCACCCCAAAAGTTGTCAATTCTCCAATTTGCACCTAAAATACAAATTAGCCATTTTAAGCACCAATTATCATTAAAACACACCAAAAGCTCCAATTAAAAGGTACAATTAAGTGTATAAATATACACTTAACAGTTGTACCATGGTCAAAATTGAGGGATGAATAGGAGGAATTTTCTATTTCTATTTAAGCAAATATGTGATTTAAAATTCTCCTAACAAATGAGTACTAGCAATATAAATGAGTATGATTAATCTCTAGATACAATAATTAACTAATATGATCAATTTAAATTCGTCCAAAATTATTTCGGACTAATGCATTCTATATGAAATTTCACCGGTTATCACATAAATAAAAATCTTAAACTAATAAACGCACATAAGAGATAAAATCACGTTAACTAAATAGATGCTAATTAATGAAAACTTAAATTATCGGAGACGCGGGGTGTTACACGAGGTTATTAATTTATCGAAATTCTCATGTAGTTCAGTAGACATATAGCATAATAGCATGATTCTAATAAGACATTTGAACCATGTTTGGTGTTGTTTTATACATGTAATGTATTGCTACAAAGGTTAAAAAAATATGAACCATGTTTCAACATTTTGAGAATTGATGAAAATGTATCACGAGAAATTGTGCGTTTAAGCATTTGTAGGATGGAGCATTAATTTTAACATTCAAGGCTTTCAAAATTTTGAAATGAGACACGTGTCAAGTTCTTATTAGTCCAATATTTCTCGAAATATTACATCTGATGAAATAAATCGGATGGTTTCGCAGTGACCGGGGGCAGAGCGTTAAAATAGTAGCAATGTAGATGGATGGACGGAGCTACAGTGGCGCGAGAAGAGGGCAGATGTTGAACATGACGTTTTTTTTCGATTTTGTGTCTTATTTTTTAAAGATTTGGACATGTTTGGTAACTAATTATGTATATATATTGGGAGAAAAAGAAAATACAAAATTAATTAATGAAGGGCATTTCAGACATTTTGAATGTATATCGAGCTAATTCGACCAAGACAAAAGAAATTTACGAGCTAAAAACCCGAAATTTTGTAGTCAAGAGGGGAAATTGGATGATTCTGGTATAATTCTTACGTACCAGAGATAACATTATTCTCGTCCGTCAAAGAAATGAAATCTTTCGTTGGATTCTGTCTCCTTCTCCTTGAAGATTTGTGGCTTTCACAATTTCAAGAACTGGGCCGATAAGAAATTGAAGTATGAACTTCGCAACTGCTATTTCAAGATTCGGGCTGTTGAAACTGACCCGACCCGGGTAATTTTTTTTTTTTCCTAAGATTTTCAGACACATGTGCTTGTTGGTTTTTAGGATTCTTGAAATCTTAAATCATTTCTCATTTTCCATTTGCATTCATAAATTGTTTGGAATGATACTACTAACTACTAAGTTTGTAAAAGTTTGATAGTTAAGGAATAAGGCCTTGTTTGGTTGGTAGTATAAGAAGAATAGAAGAGAAGAGAAATAATAATACGTAGAATAGAAACCCCCATTGTGTTATGGGTTGATTACATGGAATATATATAGAGAAATAATGCTAGGTAACAGAGTTTGACTAGGTAACTAAATCCTAACTAATCTAGGTAACCGAATCATACTAGAATCCGAATATTACAAGAGTTCTATAATATAATATTCTCTAACACGCCCCCGCAGTCGAAACGTGACGAACGTGAAGACTGGACAATCACTTGCTAGCACGCTCCCGCAGTCGGAACGAATATACTTCAAACGTGGAGACTGGAAACTTCAAACGTGAAGACTGGACATAAACCGCGAAACACATCGCTAGAGAATTCCTCTGTGGAAATATCTGTCCAATTGATAAAAAAATATAATAATAATAATAACGGGTGAGAGAAAAAAAACACTTTTTTTTTTTTTTTTCTTTTAATCGAGATAGAGAAAAGAGATGAGAGAGGGGTCGCCGGCCATGGAGAAGAAGAGAAGCAGCGGCTAGGTTTTAGCCCATGGAGAAGAAGAAGAAGAAAAAGATAGAGAAGATACACCACCGAGAGAGGGAGAAAATTCGGTTTGGTGGTCGCCGGCCATTGAAAAGAAGAAAACGACGGCTAGGTTTTAGGCATGGAGAAGAAGAAGAAGAAGAAGAAGATAGAGAAAATAGATACACCATCTATGAGGGAGAAAATTCGGGTGGTGTTCATAAAAAAGATAGAAAAAGAAAGATATTAGGAGTACCACCACCGGGGGAGGGAGAAAATCGGGTGGTCACCGCCATGGAGAAGAAAGACGGCTAGGTTAAAAAACCTAGAATAGAAGAAAGAGAAGAAGAGAAATAATAATATTACGTAATATAATAGAAAATAAATAAAAATATTAGAGTACCACCACCGGGGGAGGGAGAAAATTGGGTGGTCACCGCCATGGAGAAGAAAGGCGGCTAGGTTTTCACCGCCATGGAGAAGAAAGGCGGCTAGGTTAAAAAACCTAAACCTGGAGCTCTGATACCATATAAGAAGAATAGAAGAGAAGAGAAATAATAATACGTAGAATAGAAACCCCCATTGTGTTATGGGTTGATTACATGGAATATATATAGAGAAATAATGCTAGGTAACAGAGTTTGACTAGGTAACTAAATCCTAACTAATCTAGGTAACCGAATCATACTAGAATCCGAATATTACAAGAGTTCTATAATATAATATTCTCTAACAGGTAGGATTAGCCATGATTAATTGACTTCGTTAGATGTTTGGTTAGTCCAATAACTTTTCGAGAAAATGGTTCTAATTTTGGCTAATTGGGAGATAAGTGAATTTTCGTAAGATTTTTTAATCTTGTTGACTAATCAAATCTTGTGAACCAAACGAAGCTTAATGTGATGAAAGTATCTCAAGTATAGAAACGAAAGAGAGCGAAAAAAAATGTCGATAAATTTAGTGAATTTCTTGAAGCAGCTAACATACTGAAGTGTATGTATATATACGTACGGATAATCTTGCCTTGTTTCTGATGTTAAAAGTTCTGTAGCTGGAAAATGTACCAGCAGAAGAAGGTTCTAGAACATGGCCTTCTCCACTCGACGAGGTTCCGTTTTGGAAGCGAGAGTTTCCTTCTTGGAATAATGTCACCACGGTGGGCCCCACAGGCATCCGTAAAGATTCCGATTCCGAACTCATCCACATTGTTCACGTGACTGCCGAGATGGCTCCGATAGCTAAGGTGGGTGGTCTCGGCGATGTCGTGACGGGGCTGGCCCGCTCGTGCATGACGCGGGGCCATAAAGTCGACGTTTTTCTGCCATTCTACGAATGTATCGATAGGGAGCAAATCGAGGAATTGAAATTGATCGACACGTACAGCTCGTACTATGACGAGAGGTGGATCGAAACTCGTTTGTATGGAGGGGTAGTTTTGGGAATTCATGTGATGTTTGTCGAACCGTTGAATGATTTTTTTAAGGGAGAGAGTGTTTATGGAGGCTCGTACGACGAGACGGAGGCTTATTTGTTCTTCAGCCGTGCCTGCCTTGAATGGTTGCAGGTTTTTTTCTTTTTCTTTTTTTATTTTAAAATTATTATTATTTATTTATTGTTGTCTCGACAAATGTTGATAATTTATTACAGGTTCGCGGAACGGAGCCGGATATTATTCATGTGCACGAGTGGCAGACTGGCGGTTTGCCGCTGCTGTACTGGGATATGTATCATTACCTTTCACTTAAGGTAAACATATTTCTCTTGTACTGATTATTTATTTGTGTTTGCAATATTTTTTCAAAGATTGTTCGTTCGTTACGGAGATTTATTACATAGGTTATGATTCTAGAATCTTTACCCGTAGAAATCACGAATTGTTTTGACGATCCACAATATGGAGCACTATGGAGAATGCAGGTATGTTGCCAATTTTTTTCTTTTTTTTTTAATTATCACTATTATTATTATTATTATTATTATTATTTTATTTTTTTATTTTCGTGTTAATTAACGAAGCCGATGTGGTTCTTTGTTAGACAAGAGCAGTTTAGCAAGTGTGGTCTTGACGGATCTGTATACGCAACTGAAGAAAAGGTGAGCCTTTTGAAAACATATTTTTACGTGTTGTGTGTGTGTGTGTGTGTGTGTGTGTGTGTCTAGATATAGGGGTTGTTCTTAGCTTTCTAAATCACGCACCGAAAGAAATTCGTAGTCGAAAAAGGACAGCGATTATAGAATATTTTAGTTGAGCTCTGTTTTGGTTTAAAATGGCAGGCGGTAGATGATCGAACTATCGGGCATAACCCCGAAAGATTAAGTTTACTAAAAGGAGGGATCGTATATAGCAATGCGGTCGTGTAAGTTGCGTTTGGATTCAAGAATTCGACATTTGACGAGAGCTTCTAATTTATATCTATTTTAATTGTAATCTCCAGCACAGTTTCTCCGACTTATCTAAAGGAAACACTTTGTTCGGGATGGCTAGCTGGCACGCTCATTAGACACCGTGACAAGTGAGCTCCTCTACTTCGGATATCTTTCGATTTTTTATTTTTATTTTCCTAATCTTACATTATGTAAAATCGGAGAAAAATTAAAAAGCATATGAAATATTTTGATAGGTACTTTGGTATTTTAAACGGGATAGATACCGAAATATGGAACCCTGCAACGGACGCATTCTTGCCTGCTAAATTCGATGGTAATTTATTCTTACAAAGTTATATTTCAGTTGACATAATTTTGAGGTGCATGTGCGTTTTTCGGTTATCTTGACAGCCAAGAAAGTTGAGGGGAAAAAACAATGCAAAGTTTACGTTCAAAGAGGGCTCGGTTTGGATCCAGAAGGGGATACTGATAAGGTGCCCCTGGTTGTATGCATTACTAGACTTGTTGCTCAGAAAGGTCTTCATTTGATCACGAACGCTATTGCTTACGTCAATCTACTTGTAACTCTCTCTCTCTCTCTCTCTCTCTCTCTCTCTCTCTCTCTCTCTCTCTCTCTCTCTCTCTCTCTCTCTCTCTCTCTCTCTCTCTCTCTCTCTCTCTCTCTCTCTCACACACACACACACACACACTAACTAACTAATCATGAGAATTAACATTAATTAGGGTGGACAAATGGTTGTTTTGGGGACAGCTCCAGATGCTCGGGTTGGACGCGAATTCGAAGCTCTTGCTCACTCGGTAAAACATATACTTTTTTTTATAAATTGTCGAAAAAACACAATTTCTATATTGTATCAAATTCCATAATACATACATTACGTGTATCGGGCTGACTTTCACTTCTTGTAGCACAACCAAGGTTCCAACATCCGAATTCTTCTCATGTATAGGTATTTCTCCTTCTTGAACCTTATTTAATTAGCTCTATTTTTATTTTTCTAGAATAAAAATATTAACTTATTTATCTTTTTCCGACGTGGATTATTCAGTGAGGAGTTGTCCCACATGCTCTACGCAGCTGCTGATATCGTGCTCGTTCCTTCGGTTTACGAACCTTGTGGACTTGCTCAAATGATTGGAATGCGATACGGAGCCGTATGTATTAGTAGTTGCTCCTTCATACATTATTACAAAAAAAATTAAATCATTTTACATTAATAATATCAGGTCCCTTTGGTCAGAAAGACTGGCGGCCTTGCAGACACGGTTTTCGACGTGGATGATCGGTTGCAACCCGAAATGGCGAATGGGTGATTATCAATGCCTTGAAAGTTCATATTATATGCCCGGGATTGAATATACTAATTTTTTTTTTTTTTGGTGCAGCTTTGTTTTTGAAGGAATTGATGAAGGGTCTTTGAACCAGGCAATAGATCGCGCCTTTTCTTACTATCGACAAAGTACGACAATTATTTTAGTTGCTAATTAAATATTTCTATTTTGCTAATTTAATTCGTCGAACTAAGATCGTACGCTTACGGTTTTGTTTGGTGCAGAAGCTGAAGAATGGAGGGGTTTAGTAAAGAAGGTAATGGAGATGGATAATAGCTGGAATAATACAGCAGGGAAGTACATTGACTTGTACAACTCTGTAAGAGTTAGAGATCAATGAAATTTCTCTTTACATACCTTAATCTATCTATAAACGTCCGCCTTATGTTGGTGATTTCCCGATTTTCGAGTAGTTGAAATAATTATTTACTGAACAATCGTAAGTTTCTGTAAATGTTTCCGTGAAACCTGAAACGGGCAAACAACAGACGAAAGTATACACAACTAAGTGAATTACTAACGAGGACAGCATTACAATGAGAATTTTATGATAGAGATGCAAATTATTACACGATCGACAAAACGGATAATAGTTAATAATGTAGTGTTTCGTTCTACTCTCGAGGAGCAGCAAGTACACTGACCTTTCCATAACACATGGCATAAAAAATTACAGAAAAAAAAACAGTTTTGTTTCAAGCTGTCGAAGTTTAGAATCTCGGTTATTTAAAAAAAAAAAAAAATTAAAAAAAAAAAAAAAAAAAAAAGGACAACTATTCATTTGATTTCTGTAATCAAGTAGCTGTGCTTTCCTTCACTTAAATGCCTCCTATTTTGAGGCTTATAGAAATTGCTACTGCCCGAAAAATAATTGCCCTGCACTAAAATCAAGAAGCTAAAAGTACGACTAGTTAGCATCAGGCACGCGAAACCAGTGACCACCCCTATGCCCGAATACCACCTATCTTAACAAGAAATAAATAAGCAATAAACGGCACAAAAACAAAAAAAAAAAAAAAAAAAAAGTATGACTGTCCAAGTTTTCAGCCTTCTTTCTCTTACCTAAGGATTCCAAATAACACCAACTACTCCGACACATAGAAAATTAGAAGAAAAGAAAAACGAAAGGCGCAGAGACGGAGCAGCGCAGAGATGAATGGAAAATATCACCTCAAAGATCCCAGCAAGCAACTATTCTTCTGCCAATTCCCAAACTAAATACGAACAATTCCCAAATCTGCTATAATTATCCGACTGTCAAAGGGCTACTCCAAATCCTTGTTGGAAATATTTTTACTAGCATCTAAATGGAGTGTGTCCGCTAGGTTTTCGGAGAGTTGATTCACTGACTCGGCAACAAGAGTAGCTGTTGCGGTTGTGGTTGAAATGGCCCGTTGTTTTGCTTTCCTCTCCAGCAAGGTTTTCTCACGTTCGTCGTAAAAGTTGAAATCGTCGAGAAGGGATGTCTCAGCGTCGTGATTCTTGAATATTTGTAACATTTCGATTCCCTGTTCCAATTTCACCTGAAATTGGAGGACAACAATTGACAGTTATTATGAGTAGTAAGTAGTAGTAACATATAACAATATTATTCACATGTACTTTGTGTGAGGAAATGAAATAAAACATTTCTGTCTGAAAAACAATCATAAGCAGTCTAACCATAGAGAGAGGGCTCAAATTTGATGCAATCCAATTATCCAGATTGTCTTGGAATTTTAAATTCTATGATGATGAAAATTAAAACTTCCCTTGTCATAATTCAATGAGCAAAAATATCAAGAAATTTCAATTTTTAGAGGCTTGGCTAAGATTCTTCCAAATCCACATCCTCTTTACTCTACTACGAGTAGTCAGATGGTTCTTAAGAATCTCCTCTCTTTTCTTAATGCAAAGTCTGCGTAGAATATATATTTCAGTCTCATTAATTTTTTCACACATTTGTTTAACTTTAGTACTTTAAGGTCGATTTGAGAAGGCTAACCATACTAGTTGACTTTATACATCTGCAAAACCTAATCTATGTTGTCTCCGTACTACTGTCTGTAACAGACTTGAATAATTTATGATTCACGTTTTAGTTACCAATATCTAAAAACATAATAGAAAACTTTAAGGCATTTCATTAGCTCAAAAGAAGCAAAACCTCTTGTGAATCTCGACTGTGCGTAACAGGCTTGTTCTCGTTATTTTCAAGAAGTATGTGGCGAAAGCGGCTGTTTGGCACGTCTTTGATAATGTGCCATTTAACAGGAAACTGGCCACTCCACCTATCCTGCTGCCAATAATCAGCATCATTCTCAAAATCAACAGGCCCAATCATCTCTGCTACACCACAAAATTGTCCGCTAGCATTAACCTGCACCACCAATTAGCAACAATAGGTCAGCATGCAAGCATCCACTCACAAATTATGTAAGACCACACATTTTTCCCATGCAATTATAATAGTCATGAAGCTTAAGAAAATCCTAAGAGAGAGAGAAAAAAAACAAGGACAGCTTTTTTACTGCACCTAGGTAAAATTGAGAGAAAAACAGAAATCTAACCGAGAACAAGAGGAACACCGGACAAATGCCTTCCATTTCCTTTGTTTCACAATAGGCAGCATCCAACTTCCGATTTCCAAGTGGTGTGCTGGCCCAAACACTGTATTTTATACTTTTGTGGATATTGTCCTCGCTGAACGATTTGATAACAAAAAACTTCGCACGGTCGTAATCCGTTATGAAATCTGGAGAATTGAGATGGTGGACATGGAGCTTAGAGGTGGATTCAACATCTTTAATGTCCGCGGAAGAATCCTCTTCAGGAGAACTTTTGCTTTTGGGCTTCGAAGCCCTAGGCCCTCGGTTTCGATCACTTGAGATACCAAGTGTATCGGCATAAACATTGGAAGTGTCTCGCTCCCTTTCTCGTCTTCCAATTTTATCATTAGCAAAGCGATACTGGTTAGAACTAGACCCGATAGTGTTCTGGTAAGGACTAGTATGGGCATAATTTCTAGCTGAGGAGTTTCCGGTTAAACCAAACCCCTGATATGGTGCCTGCAGACATAAGCAATCATGAGAAAAAAAAAAAAGGAATTAAAAGTAATGAATGCCTCCAACTAGTTTAAAGATGATATACCCGAAACCCGAAACCCAAAACTCCAGAATCTATGCCTAGCATTACATATTTAAAGAAGCAAGAAAATTGAAGGTGAAAATGTGAAGGAAAACATGCACAGAATGATGCAACAAAAGATTTGACAAACCTGTGCAACATTTTGCTCATAAGATCCAAGTATGCCAATAGGTTGATGGTATACAGTGCCAGAAAATGGAGACATGAACCTGTTACTATCTAAAGAGCTAGATCGACTTGGGAATTGATCGTTGGATCCAAACTCGCCATGGTACTTGTAAAGACCATGGCCACTACTTCCAGAGAGATCACCTCCACTAAAAGATCCAAATGGTAGATAGTAACCTGATCCTTGCCCAAAAAACGCATTGTCAATAAGATTTTCTTGGCCTCTACTTCCTGACGACATTAACTCAGTTTGCTGAGCTGGAAATGCGGAAGTAACATGTTGTGGTAGACCAGGTGAAAGTGGTGGCGGATAGTAAGAAGGTGTCACAGGCATTTGGTGCGGCGAAAACAGTTGACCATCAATCATTATCGGAGACAGAGGGCTGGCAAGCGGGGAAAACTGTCCATATGCCATCTGGGAGTCATAGCCATAGCCCGGAGGAAAGAAGATTGAAGAACTATCGTTGTACATTGCCTTTAACAAGATGAAACACAAAATTTATTACCGACGGGTTTCTGTACATATAAATCATGACGAGGCAGAATAAGTATCTATACTTACTGGAGGTATGACGTGCAAGTTGTTGGCATTAACATAGTTTGAATTTTCATCCCAGTTGCCACTGCCATTGTCATAACCTTGAGAAATGCAAACGTCAAGATCAGTACCCTTTATGGCTAGAAATAAAAGAAGACAAAAACGAAGGGACATAAACACGAATCATGAAAAGGCTAGGCATAGTTGCCTTTAATACCACAGAAACAAATTGACCCAACTTTTTATGCCCCGTTTTCGAACCATCTAATTTCAAATTAAGATATTATTTTATTGTCAGTGGAAAGAAAAGGGAGTATGACAGTTTACCTACCTCCTACATCAAGACACCATACTATACTTTTTAGCCAATTTATTGGTGACTAATAATGAATATGTGTATCCAGCTATGTCTTTACCTTCTCCTGTTTTTTTTTTCCTGTGGATTGCGTTTGTGGGGGCTGGTCTTAATGAAGATGTGAAAGGAAAGGACTGGGTGAGTAAGTCTCCAAGTGGCATTGCTAAGTTAAAGTAAACCAAACTTACATTAGGAAAACTCTACCTAAAAACTAATACATTCTTCAGAGTTCGGACTATATACTTGAAACAGTGATTCAGTCTAAAATCACAAGACACCATTATCATGTCATACGGAGTCAATCGTGACTGAGAGAGTTGAACAATGATGAGCTGCTAACCTAGAAATTCACATATTTAAAAGTAGTGCATAATAGATTAGGTGACAAGTAATTGAGTTAGCCATGGAGAAAATCATGTATATATTTATTTTCCTACCCCACCCAATTCTTGCATAGTTACTCAAAAGCAGGCAATCTTTATCAGTAAATTTGGAGTAAACAATTATGTCCGATTCTATATGGTAACTTCTCATTGTCTGAATATTGTACAAAGAAGAAAGTTAACCACTTGGGTTAGTATAATGAACTACCTCCAATATAATAACCCTGTTGCTCTTGAGGGGTATATGTGCTGAACGGATGCATTGTGGCAAGCGATCCACTTGTTTCTGAAGTTGCAGGCTGATCTTTGGTGTTTATTGGAGCCACTGAGATGGCTGCACCCAGAGAAGGATTTGTAGAAACAACCCTTTCATCATTTTGCAAAGGCGGCTGAAAATAGGTTGAAATAGAAGTACAGGAGTGGAGGGAATCAGCTAAGCTAACTAAAACATAAGGATCAAAAGACATAAAAACCTAGTAAGAAGATTGAATGCTGATAACACACCTGTTCGGCCAAATTATGCAGCTCAACAACTCGGTCACCTGCATCCACCAGGGCAATCCATAAATTGTCAATAAACAATAGTAATTATTAGCAACATCCACAAATGGGTGGGGCACATTATTTAGTGAACAATAACATCCAAGAAACTGATTCTTTAGACCAATGAAAATTCAGAAGATGAGTTACATGTTACTTTGTCAAAATAATCTTTTATTTGTTTATTACTGTTATACTGACGAAGATACCGGCTAATTCTCCAACTCATCAGCTCCATGCGATTCGAAGCCATGCGAACTAGGCCCTAAACTTGATAAGTATGTAAACTATTAATCAGCATCTGGGAAATGGCAGCATATGCCCTTTCAGGGATGGGTTTTCTTCCAGTTACTACGATTAGACCAGAAAAGATGAAACACAATGCATACGACGAGGGCATAACCATCCCTACATTTTTGCATCTGATTTGTCAAGAATTCACTTTTACCATTTTTAAATTTTTTTTTACCAAATAAGTGGTTCCTACTGAATTAGCTAATGTTCAAAGAAACATAAAAAGATAGAATTCACAACATTTTGGTTACATAAACCTCAAATCAAAATTCTCCAAAAACCGTGACTTTTTCTAAAGGAATATAATTAGGAGCAACATAAACCCAAAAATACTCAAATAGAAATTCCTCTTGTAGAAACCCTAAACACTAAATTCAACAGGCATAGAATTGAAGAGGAGTCATTGGATGAAAACAACGTGTAAATTGAACTAAATTTGATTCCTTCTTACTCTTGCCTGACCAATGCAATCCAAATCTATAGAAACCCTAAACACTAAATTCAAAAGGCACGGAATTGAAGAGGAGTAAATCAAAATCAAAAATCTCGGAAGAAACGAACGTGTAAATTGAATCAAATTCGAGTCTTTTTCCCAGTTTCGCCTGACCATCGCGATACAAATCTAATAGTCTTGTCGGTGCCCACAAAACTGAAACCCCAAATTAAATAAAAATTAAAAATTTACAGTATCCCCACTGTCGAACCCCTAGATTTTTATTACTCAAATGTAAAACTAGGTCAAATCGAAGTTGAACTGAAGGCAAAAACAAAAAGCAAAAAAAAAAAAAAAAAATTTAAAAAACAGTAAAGACAAAGCTGAGAACGAACCCGGAGATTGGATGGGGGCGAATCGATCGATGCTCTGCTGATTACCGTCTTCCATAGAACTCAATCAAGTCAACTCAAAACTAATTCAATCAAAAAAGCACCAAAAAAAGTTCAGATCTATCGGGAGCTGAATACCTAATCGAAGATCCAATTGGGCGAATCGAATTACTTGAATCGAGTATATCTATCTCGTTTTGCCAGAGGAGCCCTCCTTTTGCATCAAGTAACTGTGAATTTGCTGAACGGAGAGATGCAGAAATTGCTTCCGCGGGAGGGTTTGAAATCAAACACACGCGAAAGGGTTTTAGACAGCCATTTTTACATACATGATATATATAATAATTATATTATATATGCATGATGAATATATTTATTTATGTAATATAAAGTTTTTGGCTTTTATTGTTTGTTAATTTTGCATATCTATTCTTTTTCTTTCCTTTACTCCTTTTTCTTTTTAATAAAAATAAATAAATTTGTTGAGAGATTTGGGATTATTTCATAATATAATATAAGAATTCGCAATCAAAATTCAGTAGTATGCAAACTGCACGAGAGATTATATGCAATTAATTAATTCGATCTGAAAATTATTTTCGATAAAGGAGTTGAATTTGATTCGTTAGATATTACATTTTTCTACCAACTAAGCTACTTTTGCTGATAATAATTTCATGTATTGTATTGTATGTATATAATATTGAAGATATCAACTATTTATAGTGTAAAAATATCCAAATCATGTACCCCTACTACTTTTCCAATTCCATTACAATCTTAAAAAAAAAAAAATTAAAATTAAAAATAGTACAATAGATGATGGAATTGCTAGAGATAATCATGTGCAATATATTCTTCATTTATCAATCTACATCTTCACACATAATTTATGTGAGGAAGAATAATGAAAATGCACCGAATATAGTATTTAGTGAAACGAAAATTAATATGTTAAATACGTTTCAATATTGTTAAATAACGAATAAGTTCTTTAATTAAAATACAAAATTATTAAATACAAGAAAAATAAAAATATCAAAACACATTAGAGTGCTTAATTAATTGGTCCAAGAAATAGCAACACCAACACAACAACCAAAGTAAGATACAACAAGTGTTTTTTCAAAACTGAAACACTGGTAAACAATTATAGAAAACAAACCATAAAAATTAAAACAGATTTTAATTTATTGACAGATTCCAAAATTTGGTTCAAATCATAAATTCCTTTGTGTGGTGGGATAAAATGCGCCGGAGTCATACGGCGATGCCTTAAATAACCGATATTCTTGATGCTGATCGAAGTTATTAACCGATGAATTCGCCAAAGAAACGGGACTATTACTACTACTGGGTTGTTCTGCCGGATTGATGTTATAGTTCGAGTGAAACATCGACAGATTGTTATGCACAATTTGTCCCCCCATGGGAATCGATTTTCCGGCCTCGTTCGAGCTCCACGAGTTTGATGACAGAAAAGAATGAGCACTTAAAAGATTCGGAGCAATCGGAGAACGAGCTGTAGATACAAACTTAAACCCGTATGTAAGTATTAATGTTGTTTCGAATCCGAAGTAGGGAATTTTATTTTTTTTGGAGCAAAATGACTTACATTGGTCAAGAACACCCGAAATATTTGAGGGGTGGGGTGGATCCATGTGTAGATTGGAAATCGAATTACTATGAATTACGTTACTAGAAAAACGCGGCGTTTCTTGAAATATTCCTCCGGGGTATCCATTCATTAGTATGTTTTGTGGTCTTTGATCTGTTCAATTTGCAGTTTTCATGAAATCAAGAAAAACGTGCCATCAAGATATTATGATATTGAATGATTCACCTCACTGGCAGCTTAAATTTTTGGTTGAAGTGAAATTATTATTTGTCGAAGAAGAAAGAAAAGAAAGAGAGAAGAAATTAATCACCATATAATCCATAAGAAAGTCCTCGCGAGGTGAGTTGAATCGACTCGGGACGCACCCTACGCCGCCTAGCATTATGATCGGAGAGGCGCCTTCTGCAGCTTCTCTTCATATCGTCAAACTCCGACAAATCATGCAATCTACATTACGATTAATCACCGATTAAGAACAAGGAAAATAGATCATATATAATATAAAACACAATAATTTACGCAGTTCGCCCAAATCGAGCTGAAAAAGAGATTCAATCAATGAAGAATAGTCCAACCTTTAACCTAATTTAACACACACACACCAAAAAAAAAAAAAACTTACTTGCTGCACTGCTGGCAAAACCGGCGTTCGAATCCTCCGACGACAACCCTAGGACTCTTGGAGTGGAATTCGCAGATTCGATGCCGGCCGTGGTATTCCTTTGCCGACTTAAGGTCAACGCTGCATCCTTCCACCTGGCAGCACGGATTCTGCGTGCTCCGGTGCACCGCCCTCGATCTTTTCGATGAACTAGGAACCGACGACATCACCGAACGAGGAGTACACGTACCGCTCTAATTTAGCACTTTGTGGTAGGAAAATCAAAGAGCCAATTATTTACGCCACGTCAGCACCCCCATTGATGGATGAACTCATGACCTTCCACTACATGTACACACTCTCTAGTATTCATTCACAACAAGCTCAGTAAAACAAGCAAGAAAAAAAAACTAAGTGATATTATATATATATATATGATAATAAAATATTTCTATTTTGATTTTGATTATTATTTTTTATTTTTAAATTGTGGGTGTTCCCTATAGGAAAACAGGCTAGGTAGGTTGCTCCAAGGGGGTAGGAGAACCCACCAAAATTTAAGACAACAGAGACAGGTGTCAAAAAGTGAGTAGTCGAACACAACAATATATTATGATTGTGTTAATTTCCTCCATTCCCATTTAACTTCCTTAACTTCTTCTTAAATTGCGCAACGACTATATGTTCCTGTGTGTCGTCGTCTGGTTATAAACCTATATTCTCGTATAACAGCTTGCAAGACGTAAAACTCTGACTGAGTTTACGGACTGGTTTGAAGTTTGAACGCAACGTGGGACCCGCGTTTGATTGATTATTGTATACGTATGGTTCGACCCCGTTAGCGAGCGTTGAACAGTGACTTAACACACACACCAGACTTTCACCCATGTGGGGTTGATCAATCTCTTTCTGTTTTGGTCCAGGACAAAATTACATTCACCACATGCATGCTGCCTTCTTCATACTGTCCCACTGTATCTTTAACACCACAACCTTCTTTTTTTTTTTTTTAATTAATTAATTAATTAATTTATTTTTTGGATAAATTACACATGCACCCCTCGTGTATACTAAAATAACTTTAAGGTCCATGTAATGTCTGTAAACAATCACCCCTGAAACATTGCTTGAAATCCTAACGAAATAATGCACTGGATAGGTTATTCCGTTAGGGTTTTAATGGACTATTAGTTTCAGGCAGTAATGAAGAATGCATGAATCCTTATTATTTTATATAAGATTTAAATTTTCGTTTGTGATAGCATTATCGGCCCTGCAGGAAACAAATATAGCCATATCGGTTCCCAATGTATGAAATCTTGACTCCAATAATTGTTTCAGGGGTTTGGTTGTAATTGTCAATATCACATGGACCTCAAAGTAATTTTAGCATACAACAGGGGTGTATGTGTAATTTACCCTTATTTTCAAGTTATGAAGAAAGAAGTCTCTTTAATAGTAGTAGTAACTGTAAGTAAATATCTACAGCCTGTTATGAAATTCTTTCTTTAGCGAGTGATCGGTAGCTAGCTCGATTTCGTTAACATAATGGATTAGGATATAGCGTTGAGTTTCTGCTTGACCGAGCTCGAGTTCTTGGACTGATATAATCAATCGAAGCTCAAACACATTAATTTTAAGAACTACCATGCCATCGAGTTCCAGTCGAACACATTTACCCAACAGTTTGCTGCAGAAGCGAGAGCATTCAAGCAATTAAAACGTTTCTTATAAATGAAACTCTCTCTCTCTATATATATATATTTAATGCACTGACACCTTCATATGGCTGCAATTGATCCATGAGGGCCATTATTTTTCCCTTTTAATAGCTATCCACTCCATATAGTACACACAACTCTCCCCCAATAAATTATCCACCCTTACCAATACTTTCAATTAGGGCTGTAAATCACTAGACCTCGTTAGATTTTTCGAGCTCGAACTCAAATATATATATCTATTGGTTATATAGAACTTTTAAATGTAAATTCCACTGTCTCCTCTTATACTTTAGTTCGGTATCATTTTACCCATTCTACTCTCAATTGCATCGATTTGCCCCCTGCACTTGAAAAATTATATTAATGTGACCCTCGATGTTAGTTGTCAGACATTTGACCTTAACACCGTTTGATCTCTGAACTTACAAAAACGCCACCTCTCCTAGTTTAAATAATTATTAAACTAATAATAATAGTAATAATAATAAATTCAAGACTTTAAAAATTATTTATAAATCCACGACATCAGCCACAATTTATTTATCTTTTTTAATTTTTTAAAAATTATTTAAATTGGGAGGAGTGACTTTTTTGTAATCTTCAGACTTAGATTAGATCAAACGGTGTTAAGGCCAAAAGTCTGAAAACTAACGACGATGGCCACATTGAGACAATTTTTCAAGTACAGTGGGCAAATCAATGCAATCGATAGTAGAATAGGGTAAAGTAATATCGAGCCAAAGTACAAGGGGAGAAAGTGGAATTTACCCAACTTTTAATTAATACATATGTATACTATACACTCCATCCAGCACAGGTAGTTTGATACTTCAAAGAGCATATTTTGGCAGAGAGAGAGAGGCAATAATAATAATAATAATTAATAGGTAGCTACTCCCCACAACACAAGAAACTGGGAAGTTAAAGAGTGTAAAATCTTGAAAACACACCTGGAAATAGCAATATAACCACATCGTATGTATATGTACGTAGACTACAAACCTTTCATAAATTTTCCGAGAGATATCGACGTTAGACTTTTCGTCATCCGTCGGGACCCGGAAGAAATGATAATAATGCACCATATGGGAAGAGGAAGGGGGCCTCAAACAGGGAAAGGAGGTACCACACATTTTCACACTGCCCCTTTTTCTATTTTCAATGTCACATGTGACATATTGTATATCATGCCAAGAGGAAAAAACTCGATTTCATACCATCTTTTTTTTTTTTTTTTTTCAAAATTTATTTTCTTAGACCGAACGACGAATATTATAGAGAGAAAAAAAAGGAGGTGGAAAAATGAGAATATTCCGACAATTTGTCGTTCAAAAGAGTAGGATTTTGTCCTAATGTCTCTTCATTTCACGGAAAATATTCGCCACCTTTGGAGATAATCGCGGCAGGAATTTAAACATCTGCAATGTAATTATTAGGAAAAAAAATTTCGATATAATCATTGCATTTATCACGAAATAAATAAAAATGAAATTGATAGGGGATAATAATAATAAAGATAAAGACATACCCAGAGCTTGACACAAGCATCCATTACGACTGGAACAAAGCTGATAAAGATTGTAATAACAGCTTGATCCACTTCAATTCCGTAATGCTCGACTATGATCTCTAACAATGTTTGCCAACCCGATTCAGAATGATATCTGCAGAGCCGTAAAAGCCGTAAGTTTTTTGATGGGAAGTGACTGGGAGTAGAAAAATGTAGACTTAATTGAGTGGTGAATATTAATTACCCTAAGAATATATCGGTGATGAGTATTATAAGAAACGCCTTCCCCGTGTCTGTAATGTTGTTCACAATCTTATAACCGGTGAATTTCAGCAAAGCCACCTTGCAGACAAACATCACTCGAAAACTCAGACATCATTAAAACTAAATAAACGATATAGTTTATTGGAAGTTGATGAAATAGATATGAGAGGAAACTTTCACAAGCTATACAATTACGAGAGATGCGCGGTTAAAATATGAAGTATATACAATTTAAAAATTAAATAAATTTGTAATAGAAGAGGAAAAGAAGAGATTTTTGATGACTACTCACTTGATTTTGATAAACGTATAGAAGAATGAATAACGAGACCCCAAACACCATATCCGACCAGATATTAGCGAATGCTTTACGGTTCTCTAATCTCCATTCTTCCCTCAGTTCTAAACTGCATCAAGTAACAAAATACGAGCAATAACCATGATTAAACTTGTGTCACGTAGTAAAGTCAATCATATAAAAGAGAAAAGAGACTTACGCTTTATGGCGTAACTCCAAATAAAGCTCCTCGTCAGAAAGAGGAGGAGATTTACCAATCTCTACTTCGAGGCGATAACGGGCTTTCTCGAAATTTAGAGCTTTGACCATTTCATGCTTTTGATTCTTCCTCACATCGAGCATCTCTGCAGCAAGTGGTACTTTCTCGACATATCTGTTTCAAGACAAATATAGTACTTGGTCAAAGTTGCAATGAAGTGGAAACAAAGAAGAACAGTTGACTTTCTACATGAATTAGTAAAAGGTTAACGACTTGCATAAATAATCCAAAGGTGAGGAGAACTTATTATGCATTGAATTGTAAAGCGTACCTGTCGAGAAATGGCATAAGAACATAGTCATGAACAACAAAATCCAAAGCCCACGGAACAATGATCAGTACTGCCAAAAATTTAGCCTGAAATAATTCAAATACGATCATCAAGACCACAACTATGATTGTTTTAGGATAATGCAGGTCCGGAAAGTAAGGAATAAGCATCTATTTTGATGCTTCCTAGCTCGTTTTGTTCATTTGTAATATGTAACGAACATTGAATGATAATTAAGCATTTTTTTTTTCGAAAATAATTTCCAATTGACACTATTGTAGAGCTTCGACATATTAAAGATAATGGTGAGCCGATGATTGATTACATTTGCTTATGCCTCCCCCAAGAAATTAAAACGAGGAAAGAGATAATAAAAGTTCGAATTACTTGTATATATTGTAATTTACTCAGATGTTGGATATTAGCTTAGTTTTGTAGCTAAGCTGGTCGAAATCGAAATTTAACAGATATTACTCGGATTAAGGGAAACTAAGAGCCTAATAACTCAATGTCGATTGCTTCATCAGCCTTCACCCTATAATCATGCATCTTACTAAAGAATCAATAAAGATCCATTAAACAGTGCAACATGTAGAGTCCACACGACACTTCTCTAATATTTCAAAGCAAGTTTCGAGAGAAAAAAAAATGTCGTTGCATAAGCTGGAAGATTCAAATCAAGAACGACCTCGAGAAACTTATATAAGTAGATGACACTAAAAACGCACAATAAATGCAACATAAAACTCACCGAATTGAGCGAGGCGTAACGAAAAACTCGATCCTCGTACAGAATATCATCATCTTCTCTGCCAAGAAGCACATCCCTCACAGATTTGACCAATCCTCTACCAGAAAAAAATTCATCACTTTCTCCCCCTTCGTCTTCTCCGAATTCCCCATTCGAGTTTTTTTCAGACCAAGATGCCCCATTACTATCAACATCAAGCCAATCCTCCCACCTCCTATTCTCCTCATTCTTTGCATCTTCTTGCGCTTCCCTCAATTCCACAATCGCCTCTGCTCGCCTCTTCCACGCCTCAAATTTCTCCTCCTCAGACAATTCCTCATCGTCATCATCGCCACTACCACCCTCGTCCGACTCGAGCACTTCGAGGGTACTTTCGTCTTTTAACCCGAGCCAATTCCCTTCCTCGTCGAAGAAGAATCTCTGCCACCAGCTCCTCTTATTCGCGTGCTTCTTCTTCTTGGCGTTTGGAACCACCCCACGAGACGACGATTTTCTACGGCCCCCACTGCAACTCAATCGAACCCCAAAACGCGATGCATTACGAGAATAAAATGAATTACTACTATTACTATTATTACTGCAGCTACTTCTTCTGTTGAACAAGACTAAATTTCGGCATAACACAATTGAAGTGCTCATGAAGAACATGTGAAAGCCTCCACATCTTTCAGACTCGTAAAGCGGTAAAGGCGCAATCTTGCTCGGAGAAACTCAACAAAATTGCGGGAGCAACCGCCATTGGAATCAACAATTAATCGAACACCATGAACGCAACATCACATCCGATATTGAATTTCAAAAACAATTCACAATCCACCAATAATTTCGAAGTAAATTATGCGCAGAAAAAAAATAAATGGGGGAATGTAGAAAACTTGGTCTTTTTGAGCGAGAGAGAGAGAGAGAGAGAGAGAGAGAGAGAGAGAGAGAGAGAGAGAGAGAGAGAGAGAGAGTAGAGTAATTCGAAGAATTCAAATATGTTTTTTTTTGTGGGTTTAATTAATTATCTACTATAAGGGTTGGAAAGGGGGCCAAGCGGGAGAGGATAACGGTTCTGGTTTCATAATCTGCGGATAAAGCTTATTTTCATTTTCCCCTGTTTGCCATTTTTAGCTGTCTGAATGAAGCTTTATTGGTGGTGGCTTTCTTGTAATTTATGGCAAAATCCGGGGTACTATGAGCCACTATGGAATTTCAATTTTCAACTATTATTTTATTTTCGTTTATGTATATTCAATTTATTTCTCTCTTAAATTTTATTATCTTAATATTATATTGGGTAATTTACGGCTGCAACTCAAAGGTAAAGTTAAATTACGAAAAAAATTATTCGTATTTTGGTAATTACAACCACCCCTTAACTATGAATTTTCTTACGCATTCATCTTTATGGTGTCGAATTCAACAGAATCTCTAGATTCTGTTGAATATTTTTTAATTTGTACTCGATTCGTGAAAAATGCAGTTTCTGATGCACCACAATCTGATATTTACGAGAAAAAAAAACACATCTTATTATCATCTTGTTTCAAAACGTGGAGCTTGAATGGGGTAAAATGAGTACAAACCGAAGAATATTCCACATAATCTAGAAGATTTCACTAAATTTGACATCGGGATGGTGGACGTGTAAGACGATTCATAGTTGAGGGAGGTGGTTGTAATTACCCAAACATGAAGGTTTTTTTCATAATTTGACATATTATATTTATATGTATTTAAATAAAAGGATACTAATTATTTTTTAATTACTTAGTTTTTTTAAAAAAAATTATACAATTATTCTGATTAATTAAAATAAAAATTCTTCAATTAAAAATATTATTTTGGGTTTATATATCCTACAAGATTAACATTTCGGCCCATTAAGAACCCAAGACGGCGGCCCGGCCTGCCTCAAATGACCAGACGACGTCGTTCAATTGCCAAATGAGGGTTTTTGCTGGGGTTTGAAGATTTTGCGAAGAGGAAAATTCGTCGGAGAAAAAAAAAAATCAGGATGAAGCCGGTGGTGGGGATGGTGGTGTCGAACAAAATGCAGAAATCGGTGGTGGTGGCGGTGGACCGCCTCTTCCACCACAAGCTCTACAACCGCTACGTCAAGCGAACCTCCAAATTCATGGCCCACGACGAGGATAATCAGTGTAACATCGGCGATCGCGTTCGTACTCTTTCGATTTTCTCTCTCCTCCCACCCACTCTTCCATAATACATATATATATGTATCGATGTATTTATACTTATTTTTGTCGTCTTGCTTATTTGAAGAGATGAGGAGAGTGACTGATTTTATTCGCCGGTTTTTTTTTTTTTTTTTGTTTTTTTTTGGATTTTGCAGGTGAGATTGGACCCTTCGCGGCCGCTGAGCAAGCGGAAGAATTGGATTGTGGCGGAGATCCTTAAGAAAGCCAGGATTTACGTGCCGCCGTCGCTAAGTAAGGATGCTTCTACTCCTGGTGATTCAATCAGCCAGGCCTCTTGAGATGGTAATAGATTTTTATCTGGTGTTGCTGTTTTTTCGATTGTTTACCTTATCTTTGCGAATCGTATTCTGCAATGAAATTCTATGAATGGGGTTTTCGAGAAAACGAGGATTCGACTGCGGGAATGTTCTGATCGTATTGGGGTTATTATTGGCTCAGCTAATTTCATTGTAAGAACTTGAACTTGCTGGCTGACGATTGTTTGTTGTTCTGTTGTTGTTGCAAACGAAATACTTTATATGGAACGGAAACTACATATTGACTTTAGGAGAAGAAAAAAATCACATTTTCTTGAGTATTAGTTCGAAAGGTTCCGTCTTTATGGCGAGGTTTTAAGATATCACGTCGCCCAAGATTAACTCTTTAAGGTTTCATTCTGAGTTTCTATTCTAATCTAATCAAACTTTATGCTCGTTTTACCTAATGAATTAGAGAAGTGAAGCTAGATACCCTGCAAAGATACGCGTCCATTTATTTGACTACTAATATTCGTTGCTTTCTGTTTTTTTTTTCTCATGAGATTGAAAGACGGGATTTTCTAATTATATAATCTAGTAGTATTTGCTTTTATTCCAGGTGTAATATTCCAAGGTATTCACTATTCAGTTCCTTGAGCAATTCAAGCTTTATAGAATATTACCATGGCATGAAGAAGACGGGTATTTGTTTTCGTATTTATTGAGCTAAATTCTAGGGATACCTTTTCCATGTTAGCAGGACCTTTACGGGGTTGTATGTCTATTAGCAGTTTCGTATGTAAGGCTTTAAACCTGCGAGGAATCTTTTTTTTTTTCTGCCAAGGTGGGAGTGAAATTAACTTGGAATATACTGCTGTGTTTTTTCCTCTATTGATTTATCCGCGTTCAAGAAATGGTTGATTTGATAGTTTTCGACTTCATGATTTACTGTTGTTATTCTGAGAATACAAAACCGTGCATTGTTTAAGAAATACAGGTGGTTCGTTTTAATTCATATCTATATTTTCTGATTTGTATAGTTATGAGATATTATAACCCCATTAGCTGGTATTCGAACAACTTCTGGTCCATTGGATTTAACATTCTTAGGTCACATTTATTAGTTATTTTTTTGAATTATTACGGTGAATTTCAGATCTATCTTATCTGTAATCGTTTGAAATCACTTGATCCAAATGTGATGTGAAAGATCCAACGAAAACGTGTTAATGTTAAAGATCAATTGTAGAGAAATTCCTACAAAATATTATCATGTTTTCATCTGAAATATTGTTCTTTGCACAAACATGAATGTGTGTGATTTCGCACTATTACAAGCTCTAACCATCTGTCTAAATCTTGCTATAACTAGGGTTCTTCTTCAACTCTCTATCCTTCATTAATCTCCTAACTTCTTCAACTCCACTCCAATTATTACACTCAGCATACACTATACTCAACAAAGTATAATTCGCAGCATTCTCCGGTTCAATTCCAACGAGCACATGCACTAGCGACTCGGCAATATCCAATCTCCCATGATTCTTACAAGCAGAAACCAAAGAGCTCAAAATCCTCGAACTCGGTTTAAATCGCATCCCACACAAAACATCGTACGCGACTTCGAGTTCCCCCGCCCTTGCAAGAAGGTCAATGTAGCAAGCGTAGTGTTCCATGGTCAAAGAAACATTCACATCTTCCAACGCTTCGTTAAAAATCGTTTGACCCTCTTCGACAAAGCCAGCGTGATTGCAGGTCGATAAAACTGCAAGGTATATCACTCCGTCGGCTTTTATTAATCCGCTCGATTTCATTTTGTAAAAGAGCTTCAATGCTTCCTCCGCATACCCATAGAGCCCATAGGCACTAATAAGAGAACTCCACGAAATGCAATCTCTTGTTGGCATTTCGTCGAACACTTTCACGGAATCTTGAAAGCTACCGCACTTGTAATACATGTCAATAAGCGCGTTTTGAACTTCCACGTGAGTAGTGGCCAATCCTGATTTCAAACCGTAGCCATGAACTCCACTGCCATCGGTTACGGATAATAGATTATTACATGCGGAAATTAGTGCTAAGAGGGTAACACTATTCGGTTGAATTCCGTCCATCTGCATTTCATTGAATAGCTTAATAGCTTGTCTTGCACTATCTTTGTCATGAGAATAGCCTGCAATCATAGAACTCCACATAACAATCTCCTTCTTCAAAGACCTATCGAATATAAGCTTGGCAATGTGCAATGCACCGAATTTGCAATACATATGCAGAAGTGCCGATAAGAAACGAGCGTCCAAATCATAACCATGCCGAAAAGCATACCCGTGAATCTCTTCGCCAAGTGATATCGAGTGCAACTCAGCACAAGCTGGTAAAATACTAACTAACGTTACCTTGTTGGGCTTTATATCTTCACACTGCATCATTCGAAAGAAAGCAAAAGCTTTAATGTAGTCACGGTCTTCAATGCAACCGGTGATCATTGCAGTCCACGATACCTCGTTTCTCTCCACAATCCCATCAAAAACACGAAACGCTGCATCGGAATTATCCAACTTCCAGTAGAAATTCACTAATGATGTGGCCACAAATGATGTACACTCTATTCTCTCATCTAGGAAAACGAGAGCGTGTATTGCTCTACCTAATCTCCAGTTCTCGCTCTTGATGCATGTCGATAGACAACTGGCAACTAACTCTGGCTTGGGCACGAAGCCGTGGGTATACATTGCCCTGAATGTATTCAGTGCTTCTAAAAGGAAACCGTTGTGAGTGTAGCAGTTGATCATGGAATTCCAAGAGATTGTGTCTCTGCTAGGCATTTCATCGAACACCTTCCGCGCACTCCCCGTTTCGGAAAATTTCGCATACATGGAGAGCAGGGAATTCGATATGGTAAATTCTGCATCGAACCCATTTTTAAGAACGTTGCAGTGAATCTGCAAGCCCAGAATTTGGTGGGATTGAGAATGGGCACAAGCTTTAGTAATTGACGGAAGAACGAAGGCTGTGTTTGTGTTTAATTGGAGAGGGTGGATATGCTGTGCGTAGAAATTGAGGGCTTCGTCGTATAATCTTTCTGAGACCAGACGTTTGATCTTGGAATCGAGCAATGCTATGGCGGCGCCGGCCGAGGTTGTTGATGCACAGCGTTTGATTACAAGATTATGCATTTAACATGGGTTTTTATCAGCGGCATTCTTCTTAACTGGTGAATTTGTGTTTTTCTGAATATTGCAGCTAATTGGCATTTTGCACCCTTTAATTAAAAATATGTCAATTAGTACCCTCAAATTAAGATTTGCTTGGCACATTGCACCCCAAGACACTTGAAAAACTGATTTTAAAATAATTCAATGGGCAAAATGGTCAATTATTGTTAATTTCTTATGTGAAAAAGGAAGAATATAAATATTTTCTATGATAAAAAAGGTTGGTAATGATTTTTTTTTACAAATTTACCCTTTCAATTAATCTTTTAGTTCTACACTTTTAGGTTCTGGGGTGCACTATGTAAGTAAATCTTAATTTGAGGGCACAATCTGTTATATTTTTAATTTAAAGGTGCAAAGTGCCGAATATGCAGAATTAAAGGGTGCAAAATGCCAATTAGTCAATTACCCGAGTATTGCATATAAACTCCATTAGGTAGCATATGTTAATTCTTTTTTTGAAAAATATTATGTAATATAAATGATATAAAATACCAAATAAATAAATACTGTCCAAACTAATATATATATATATATATATATATATATATATATATATATATATATATATATATATATATATATATATATATATATATATATATACACACAATTAGAGAGTTTCAGACAAATTCATACCATTTGTTTCAAATGGGGAGAACCAAACGCTGAGTGCAGACACAAGTATAATAACCTGGAACATAATTAGAGCATATGTTTGCTGACATGCATCAACCAAACCAACTGCTACTAGAGGGCATACCATTCCCCCGATTTTTCCGATCGCACTCGCTATTCCGACCGCACTCGTCCTTATTTCCGTCGGATACACCTGTATAATAACCATGC